AAAGTTGAAGATTAAGAATAACTAAGGTTTACTCTATCAGGAGTAGAAGCAACAGGTTGGTCTAAAATATCAGGTTGATCTACAATATCAGACAAAGTACCCTCTAATTTTAACAAATCATAGCGGATAGCTTTTTAAATTTTTTCTTCATCTACAGAAGTTGGCTGTAGACGGGAGATTCTACCAGACAAATAAGTTAAACGAGAACTGAAAGCTTTGAATCTACTATCAGATTTTGTACCTGAATAATCAGATATAAGACTTAACAGATCAGAATAGGAAGCTAAAGCTTCTTGGTAATCAACATCAAAAGATAAACTATAGTGTATTTTTATGTATGAGAGAGTAATAAAACAATAAATTATGTATGCAAATCCTTAAACTGTTGACGGGTGACTCGATGAAAAACAGATATTTGTCAACAAGTTTACGGAAGTATATAGGAAAACAATTTTAAATTGAGTATGACCACCAGGTATAAAGGTTGGAGCAGAGTAGAATACAATAGTTGTGAGGGTTACTAATCCCTAAATAAGGTTGCCAGTGTCGGAGTGATGGAGGTTAACAGGTACTAATGAATTTGCAAGAAATGTAAGATGTTTATTTTATTGGTTATATATAACCAATAAAAGTTTAATAAGTATCTACCTATTTGCAAAATAAAGTTTAATTCTTTAGATAAAATAAAACGTTTTATTTTATCTGAAACGAGTGCATTCCACGAAGTAAGGGTTTCAACAATCAAACATTTAATTCTTTAATTCCAGGAATCTACGACAGTAATTGACTAGATAATTACCTTCTAAACTTATTCCACAGAAAATGTGATAGTGGGTTTTTCCATTTTGTAGGAAGGTCCAAGTGGCGTATTCAAATTTCTTAACAGTTCACTATAAGTAGGTACTTCAGTTGCAAGGTGCAGTTTATTGTGTATACTAGTGTTATGGAAAATTTGGAAGTGCCGTGTAAACGCCGAAAAATTGGTCCTTTAACAGTTAATAAAAAAACATTAATATTTAATTGTTCTAAATCATTTACAGACAAACGTTTATGTGAAAGTGTTGATGAGACCGTTGAGTTAGTTAGCAGTTCACTTGGTGTTGGGAAATCTACGATTTGCAGAGTTATTAAAGAAGAGAAATGTGGTAGTTTTCAAATGCCACGTAATGCTCCAGGGAAACCAAAATTTCAAATAGAATATCATTTTAAAGAAGGACTTCGACGGAAAGTGCATGAATTCTTCTTTAGACAAGAATTTCCAACATTGGATAAAGTTCTTGTCTCAGTTCGAGATGATAAGGATTACCCAGAAATGAGTCGAAGTACGTTATGGAAACTTTTAAAAGTCAAAGGCACGCTTTTGTAAATAACTTATCTACTGGTTTAAACCCACCATCAGGAAAGGGACGCCGAGGACGCTGATAATAGTACACATTGGCAGCACAGACGGTTTTGTTGAAGGTGGTTTATTAACTTTTGAATCAACTCGTACCGGTGACTACCATGAAGACATGAATGCTGATGTCTTTCATGAATGGTTCAAACAAATGATAGATCTTCTTCCTAAGAACTGTGTAATAGTAATGGATAATGCAAGTTATCACTCCAGACTTATAGAAGGACTGCCCACAACCAAGTGGTTAAAAAAAGATTTGCAGAATTGGCTGAGTTCAAAAAATATTACGTACCATCCCGGATCTATAAGAAAGGAACTTTATTCGTTGTGTGCCCTTCATAAAGAAAAATTTAAAAAATACGAAATTGATGAAATTGCCAAAAACCGTGGAATGACAGTACTTAGATCCCCACCATATCATTGTGAATTAAACCCGATTGAACTGGTATGGGCACAGATAAAGAGTGAAGTTTCAAGAAAAAATACCACTTTTAAAATTCATGATGTTAAACAGTTGTTTTTGGAGGCCGTAAATAATGTAAAACCTGAAAACTGGAAAAAAGCAGTAAATCACACTATTAAAGAAGAGGAAAAAATGTGGAAGCTGGACAATATTACTGATAAAATGATCGAGCCAGTTATTATAAATCTTGGTTCTGAAAGTTCATCTTCTGAATCTGATTTGGATTTATAACAAGTAGCTGTAAGTTTTATATTAATATTTTTATTCATCTATTTAACATAGCTTAGACGGTTTTAAAAACTCTTTTTCTCTTTTGTAATTTTTAAAAATTAAAAATAATGTGAATTTTTTAAAACCCTTTTTAATGTAGGCCAGTCAGTTCTAATATAGTGTGTGATAAAAGAGGTCACTTTTGTTTACATACACATAACACTTTTTAACACTGAAATAATTCATTTATTTTTTACAATTATTCAAAGTAATTTTTCAATTAATCTTGAGCACGCCCATGGAGTGATCGGAGGTACCAGTTAAAATTATGCTAATTACTCTCTCGTTCATAAAAATAAACTATAACAGAAGCATCAGAAAAACTACGGTTACTGGCTTCCTGAGAAAGAAGTCCAGTAAGGATCTTTCGTTTTTCGTCTACTGTATTTGGGACAGAATTTCATATGATAATTCATCTGTCTTTAAATATTTAGGTAGCATCTTGAAGAAATAATTTAAACAAATTTAAGAAAGTAATTAAAATACACTATCCACAGAAACTGGTTAAGTTAAAAAAATAGACCACTTATTACCTACCATCAAAACATGTAAAAATATATGAGTATAAAATATATATGCTGAAATATATAAAACTGGTAATACTTTGTAACCCAACATGTGAAAATATATAAAAATAGTCAAACGTATGGAAATATTAAAATTAACTACAAATAATGACAGTATGAACACATATAAAAATAAATAAGAAAGTATTTATTAAAGCTTCTTATTTGTCATCAAACCAAAAATCCAGAACTCAATTTCTCGAATAAAACAAGTACGGTTGGGTGCCAATGTGTAACGATAAGACTACCAAAAAGAATTGAAGTACTATTGTAAAAATAATACCTCAATCAACCATGGGAGCTTATCGTCTATACCTTGCCTAGCTCAGTATCTCAAGGGTGAGTTCGTCTTGTTTTAAACTAGGGATCGAACCTGAATTCTAGCTGATAGCAAATAAGACAAATTTTCACCAAACATATTTATTAAAAACAATAAAAAATAATCAACCCTGCCAAAGCTTAACAATTAATTCGTGATACTTATTGCTTCGATTGGCTGCTTGTGTGTTGTAGAATGTTAGGTCCTCCAATTAAATGTGTCTGCTGGAGAGCTGCAGTCATATGTGGGTGTATGTCCTGATTAAATTAAGTCCTCAAATGGTCCTTATTATTTTGAATGTTGTCAATACATTTACTGTGGTCTATAAACCCAATAAAGCCAATAAACCCAAGAGAATTTGTAGACCATAAAATAAGTCTTATAATAATTTTTGCCTTCTTTTATAAATTTCAAAAAGAGGCAAAAAATAATTCCACCATTGAAGGTGATTGACAGAAAATAGGAAGGGACTGACTGAATGAAGTTAGCACAGATGTCATAGGATGTTGCTATATATATATCATGAAACTAGCTTGTCTGTCAACACAGAACAGAATATTTAGTCTACCGGACAAAAAGAGAGAGGGCGAATATTTATTATACAGGACAGAAAGAGAGAGAAAAGAAAGACAGAGGGCGCCAACTACTTTTTAAATAAAAAATAGTAAAAAATAAACTGAAGATAAAGAAATTAATAAATTAATAAAGAAATTAAAATGAAATAATTATTTAAATACAAATTAATAGAGATGTGACGTTTATAACGTTACAACTTTTTCAAAACTGATCTTGGTCTTCAACAATCTAGAAAGGATCTTTGTTTGTATTATAACGATTTTACATTTTTACTTGTGCACATTGATGATTTGATAATATTTTCAAAAATACAATATTATGTTTATAAAAACTGAGATAAAGAACAAATTTAAAAATGAAAGAGTTTGATAGTGAAAAATTATTATTTTTAGGTTTACATATAAGTTCAATTGGAAATAAACTATACATTTGACAAATGGAATTAATTAAGAAAATCTTGCACAGATTTAATACATGTAATTATTGTAAAATGTTAGATATTCTAAAGCAACCTAAATTAGCTACTCCATTCGTTGTCTTTTGTATCTGATGCTAGACTCTAGACCAGATTTAAGTTTTTGTATGTCACATTTCATTGACTGGAACATTGCAAAAATTTGAAAAATATTTTGAGATACTTGATTTCTACAGAACATTATGCTTTATGATTTGTTAAAGGTAGAAATAAAGAAATATCCTATGTTAATGCAGATTTTGTAAACAATCAAATTTTCAGAGAAAGTATTAGGGGTTAAGCTATAAAGCTTAACAATAATCTTATTTAAAATTAGGGAGCAAAGTGTAGTGTTACTATTTAGTGCAGAAGCCAAATGTATGGCATTATCTTTATGCGTTATAGAAAGTTTGTTCTTTACTCAGATGATGGAAGAGATTTTTAAAATTATGTATAATATAGTTGTGTATGAAGATCACCAATTATTATTAAGACTTCTACATTGGAAGCAAAAAGAACCAAATATATTCAACTTAATTTTATTAGAAATTGTTTGGAAAAGGAACTCATTGCTTTAAAATATGTAATGCTGACATTTTTACAGTCATTGTCAAAAGCTAAATTCACCTGTTTTAGCGAACTTTTGAATGTTGTTGAATTGTTGAAATCAAAACGTCAAAATAAATGTACTTTCTACTGAAATTGTGGTTAGTACATAATACTAAAATGTCACAAAATAGCTTATATTATATTTAGGCAGACAGAACTTAGTTAACGTTTCAGTTTGTTTTCTTGTAGCAAGTTCTATTTTTTACTAGCTTATATATCAAACAAGACATTTCAATAAATTTTCTTATTGCGTTCCTCCCATTTTCCCCAGTTTTTTCTTTCGCTTTCACTAAAAAAGGTAACTTATCTAAACCTAACTAATTACGTAAACAAACTAAAAAAGTTTTTTGAATGCATTTTATTAAAATCGTATCAAAAATACTTTACATGTAATAATTTACAACAAAAATAAAACATTTTGTAAAAATAGATTATGTATTAAACTACCTATTCCATTCAAGAAGCTTATCCAATATAACATTAGAATCTTCAGATCCATACATTTCTATTTTTTTATCAAATCCAACGAGATTCTCAGGAGTATTTACTACAGTCTCTAGAAAGGCAAGAAACATGTATGTCTCCGTAAACATGTTTAAAAATCTTCTTATTCCTTTTGATTTTGCATTTTTCAAAAACTCTTCTTTCTAGAAATACAAAAGAATACAATTAAAAAAAAATAGTGTCGATATATTTCACTATTTGTATCAATAAAAACGAATTTACAACAGAATATTAAAACAGTATTAACCTATGGAGCTGAAGTCAACGAAGAAGTACAACGCTAAATTACTAGCCACTGAGATGGATTTTTGGTGGGGGTCAGTAAGAAGATCTAGACTAGAACACATAATAAATGATGATATTAGGTAACAAGTGGGAATAGAAAGAATAATCATAGATGACATAGAAAGACAACAGCTAGTTTGGTACGGTCACGTAAGAGGATTTGAGAAAAGATAAATACCCAAAAAAGTGTTAGAATGGAAAATGAGGAAGACTAGCAACCACATGGATGAAGGGAATTTCCAGGGTGATATTGAAAAGAAATTTTGAGATAATGACTGCCACCGTAGAAAGCAGTGGCGATTAGGAATGGAAAGGCATACATCGCTATAAAACCGATTTATTAAATGTATAAATAAACATAAATGCGCAGATGAGATAAATTTCCAGCATAAATCATACTTGATAAGTATGATCAAACTCATCTTCGAAGAGGTGACTTTGGAAATCCTTTTTCTGTTTGTAATAGGAACTGGGCCCACAATATTCGGTATCACAAGCCGATTCATAACAGAACTTACTTAAAAGCTACTAGGCCGCCTAGTTTAAATCTATAAATATCATTAAATAGCTGCTCTAGTATAGACAGAACTTTATATTCTGAAAACTCTTTTATGAATATCATGCGAGCCGGGACTTAACCTGATTTTTCAACTAATCTCTTGTGATGTTAAAGATGAAGAAGATTGAAGATGACTAAATCTATCGAACCGTTTTGAGTGAAAAAAAAACAGGGGTATGTTAAATAGCTTAAACAAGACAGGAGTACTTTTGGGCATTATTTGATTATTATTAGTTTTTAAAAATTATTAGTTATTATAAATTTGAATAACATTAGTAGTTAACCAATAGAGAACTAATTTTAGTAACAAAAACGTAAATAATTACCGTCCTTATAGAAAATTCTTTTGAAAAGATATGATATAGTTATACTTTTTTTCATATGACGACAGATCTAGCGTGGTGGAAATCGAAATGAGGAATGCGGCAGCAATTGTTGAAACCTTTCACATAGATACGCATGACAGACTTTTTTATAAATAAATAAATAAATAATATATATACCTGAAAAACGCCATCCCTAAAATACTTCTTATAATCCTTGAAACACATGATAAATACTTGAAGGTAAGCGTCACTTAAATACACCGAACGAACATATTCCAACGAAGTTGCGGCTTTGTTAGCTAACATAATACTTCTTCTCCATACTTTCTGCATACTTCCAGCCAATATTTTATTTTCGTCTCCTTCTTCTCTTTGCACTGTACCAGTATCTAAATCTACAACGATACCCTAAAACATTAACAAAAATTAGTGCAAGAATTTTTTTGAGATGGCTAAGTGGTTTCAAATCGCAATATTTATGTTTTATGATTGAAATTAAAATTTTTGAACTGAAGGTTCTAATTGTTTTCCAAATCCTGGTTAATTATTTTGAATGCAATATTTTGTAGATAAAAATTGTAGCGTTTTTGTCCAACTTGTATATCATATAAATTTCATAAGGTTTTATTTCATACTTCGAATTGCATTTCAGATCTTTTAAAGAGAATAAATATAATCCAATTACTTATTTACATTGGCAATTCTCTCTTTATCTTACATAATATTAAAATAATATCTGAATTAAACAACTAAACAGTCTACTTAAGATCCAAAGTTAGGATAATTATCCTCGCAGCGAGGAACATTTAGTGTACTTTCCATTTGGCAGTCGGGATAGGAGGTCAGGTCGAAATCTGATTTTGAGGGTATATACGCCTCACTATCAAAGCATATTTTTGTCAATGAAGGTGTGTCTAGTGAAGAGCTTGTGTTTTTTTGTTTTTTTTTTGTAGCTATTATGGTTTTCTTAATTTCTGGTTTATCTCTTGTTATCAAGATGATAAACCATGTCCACTTACAAGAGAAAAGCTGAAATAGTGTCCCTAAATTCCGTAGGTAGGTACATCCAGTTATTCGTGGTTAAATGAAGACGTACAGACTACTACCAACGTGTATGGTGAAACAATCATAATTCACTTGAAGTTTTTTAATATATTTTTGGTATTTCTAAAAATTAACAAAAGTTGAAATTTTCTTAATATACCCTTTCAAGTATCCAGTGGCCAGTGAAGTGTTAAAAATAATTATCAGTGTGTCGGGGGTATATTTTCCATTGCAATCTCCATTATTAGAGGTTTACGATCACTATATCAAAATGTTCTCTATTCTGCGGCACTATAATTGTTGAACGTTCATGGGCGACCAAGCTCTGATATTGCGAAGCCATGACATGGTTCTTATGTCTACTCCTCTTCGGTCCTCTGTCTTCCCTTCAATTATTATTCGTAGCAGGTTATATTTGTCATCTCTCATTATGTGACCTAGTTACGAGGTCTTTCTTTCCTTTTCTGTTTAATTATGTGGATAATTTTTCACTAGAGATAATTAAATGAGATCGTGAGATAACTTTATCATTACTTATCTTTAAAAGAATATGGAATGAAGAGGTCATACCCGAGAAGTGGAAGAAATGACTAGTAATCAATATGAAGAAGGGGGATGTGTCATTAGTTCAAGTATTTCGTATGTTATACAGTCTCTCTTTCTTCATGACAAAATTGTTTTAATTCATACTTTTTTATTCTTCGTTAAAAATATCTGTTGCAGTTTTAGCTGCAACAATCGCAGAAAACTAAAAAAGGGGATTTTTTTTTTAAATTGTTCTTGAGTAAGTATAAAAACTTCCCTTCTTCTTAATGTGCCCTATCAAGTCCCCTTGACGTTGGCGATTAACATGGCGAAAAGAGGCCTGCTTTCTACCAATTCCTCTGTGTCCTTCGATTTTACTCATCATAATAAGTTGAAGAATATTATATCGGTCTCCCCTTACTACGCGTCCAAAATAGGCCATCTTTCTACATTTGATGTTATCAAGCAGCTCGCTAGCAGCATTTGCTCCCTCAAGGACTGCCACATTTGTCAGCATAGCCGTCCATGGAATTTTTAGTATACGTATGTGCAGCCACATTTCAAAGGTCTCCTGAAGATTAATGGTGGATATTTTTAATGTCCATGCTTCGACACCGTATAAGAGGACTGACCAAATTTAGCATTTAACCATGCGCTTTCGAAGTTGAAGTTGCAAGTTATCATTACAGAAGAATGACCTCATTTTTAAAAATGTCGTGCGGGCTATCTCGATTCTACATTTTATCTCTTGATCTGGATCTAGTTGTTCAGTAATATGGCAACCAAGATATTTAAAACTGGATACTCTTTGAATTATATGACCATCGACATATAATCGTGCATCTTGATGTGCTAAACGGCTAAACACCATGTGTTTTTAAAAACTTCCCAGTAAATGTAATTTACAATGAATTTCAATATCGGTCACTTAAAGTGAAACCAACGCAAACTTTAAGAAAAACCACCCTATGTCTGTTACTGCAATTATTTTTTTTTAACTACTGCGTTATAAAATATTATTTAACAGTTTTGGTAATATATTATAAAATAGGTAGGTAGTTATAAAGGCAAATATACTTAAGAGATGGGCAATAATTGTATTATGGGTTTATGACTAATATCCGAATATGAATAATATCTTAATATTACTTACATTCTCAATTTGGTAATTTTCAACAACGGATTTGGACAGTACTCCACATAGTACGGGTGTTGGGCTTTCCACGATGTCCCACAACGATTCTGGGAGAATTGGTATGCATGTATGATGCCACGTAAAAGGATATAGAATACTTTGAAGCGAGTCTATACACGACGAAAGATTACTAAAAATATATAAAAGTTTAGGTATCATATCACATTAAATTAATAACTATAATACAGTAACATATATTTAGATTCCATGAAGCCATTTTTCTGTGGCATATTACAGTTGCATTCTTCTTTGGGTATAACACTATTATTTGAATTATGTGTTTAATGTGATGAAAACCTTAATATATTTAATACATATTTTGAACCACAGAAATTCATTGATGTTTGGAGCGTACAAACTCGTGACATGCTATATGGAGCAATGGTAAGCTTAGACATAATAAAGAAATTTTTAGAACTAATCAAATATACCATGTTCAACACAGAATATAGAGTGAATGTTCAAGGGCATTTGACGGGCCATTTTTAGGCAAAAAAAAAGGCTTTGGAAAAGGAGAAGCACTAACTTGCATTATATTCAGTCTAGCTCTAGATTTCTAGGGGTCTTAGGTCTAAGGTCACAATAGAAAATATTAGCGTACAAATTATGGAATATGCAGATGATGTAAATATCATAGATCGCACGTAATGATAAATGCTGCTGCAACGATCGACAACGCTCAACTACCACAGCTCAAAGAATAATTCTCTGGTGATAAAAATTCCATTATTATGTACGATTCGATACCCTGCCAAAAAGTCAGAAGGGTTACTGCATACCTAGCCAAAGATATATTTCCGTTTTGGTCTGGTCTGGAAACTCGCCTGACATGAACCCTATTCAGAGCATAATGGGGACTAACGGAGCGAACTATTACCAAAGAAGTGATCACTACCAAACGTCAGTTAATTGAAGTTCTCATTAAAGGATCACAATACACACCCAGAAATATTGCGTATAGAGCATACCTCGACATCTCGAAACTATAGTTAAAGCAAAAGGTGACATCACTAAATATTATTGAAAAACTTAAGAATAATTTGATTGCACCACAACCAAGTTTTTATAACAACTGAACATACTCATGAAATAGCCTTGATAATATCGAATCTTTGATATAAAAAGAACATAAAGACGAATAGGATAAATGGTAAAATCTGCTATTTTCTGTCACCAGCTACTTTTATTGTACCAACTTTAGTTAATAGTTTGTTAGTAACACATTTTTTTAATTAAATAAAATTGGGATTACTTACCTCATCATAGAACTGATAAGTATTACTTTTCTTTCCAACAACATCGAAGAAAATATCTTCAATAATACTTCCGAAGGCAATTGATGCAACTTCTTGAGATCAGAGTCCTCATACCTAGTATCAGGATGAAGCGTTAATACCAGTTCATTCTTTTCTTCGCTTTGTACAATATAACTAGGTATCGAACAAAGATTTTTCATATCATCCCCATTAATGAAGATTTGTTCCGAAAGTCTCCGACTTCCTGCATAATCCCCAGTTCTGTTTACGTGAATGTATGCATCTAATTCAACGGATTCTTCTAAGTTTTCCTTAGTGCTATTTTCTTTATCATTTTCAGTCTTGTAAACATTTGGTTCTATATCAGTGAGGTTTATCCTTATTGAGTCTCCATGTTTGGGGAATTTTTGATTGTAGAATTGATTGATTAATTCGTCTCTATATTTGTTCGGAATTCCATGCCTCGATTCTAGCTCAACTAAAATCTTTTTATAAAACCTAGAACATAAAAATAAATTTAAGATTTATACAATTAGTTCACCAAACATATATATTATTAAAAAAAGATATGCTGATAAAGGAATTAAAATGGCTAAAATGTAAGGTTGCAAATAAATTTATTCTAAGTGTGCGTTCATAACGAGGCGCCGACCCTCGGTCGGACCATAGGATGTTATCATATTATCGATTTTAGGTAAAATAAATGTATTATTTCAAATGCGAGCGTTCACTTCCAGTGCTATGCTCTAGGCGTGGATACGATGCGATGGTCTCCGTAATGAACGCACCTTTATTATACTCAAAATTTGATAGTACTATTTGGTGGGGTGCAAATTCGCTTCTCAATTAATATTTCTGCCACTAAAAGTGGCTTCCCACGATCGGCGATTCTACAGATCATCGCGGGTAGCCGATCAGCACGGACGACAACGCACCGCAGACAGAGCTCTTCCTACGGTCCGTGACAGTCTGTGTAGGTCCGTGACAGTAATGTTTGATTATATCATAAAAAGGCCACTCAGGCTTGTAAACATTATTGCCTTCTGTATGTCGACATTAAATTATCTCTCTTCTTTTTTAATTCTTTAATCGAAATAGTATTATTCTTCAATTGATTTTTTATTCGGTTCCATATATCGTATGCATCGTTCCGGTTCTTATGCTCTGGCGCCGTGGAATTCCATAAACTTGGTTCATTTTGATACAAATTTAAAAAACCAAAAATAACTTTGTTTGTTCATTCCATTTTTTAGCAAAAAAACTGTAAAACAATTTTGACAACACTGCAAACAACTACTCGTGTCAGTGATTGAAAAACTTGTGACTTGCACTTGTCGTCTGTTAAAACACAGACGCGCTAGGATCGCGTCGCACGAGCATGTACCGCACCTTTGATGTTACCGACTCTAGATGGATAGGACGGACCAGCACAGACGTGTCTGTGCTATCACGGACGAGACCTTTCCCACGGTGCGTGGTGCGGGCTGGTCCGCTTACGTCCGCAATATCGCCGACCGTGGGAAGCCGCTATAACACGTATTATAGATAATAAAGTGTAGATTCGTCGTATTGGTAAATTTATCCCACTTATCAGTACAGTCAAGATGTACTTGGAGGTCACGGAATGGGCATCGAAAGAATTATCTTCTTCGATAGTAATAAAATAGCTAATGGCAACTATGAAACTTCGAAGGTAGACAAACAATGAAATCGGATAAGTCGCCAGAGTAAAATGAAGACGAAACCAACTTTCAGTAGATTTGGTAAAAGATAAATGGTGTTCGTTACTTGTGAGAGATAAACAAATGGTCAAATCGGTATACGAAGGATTGAGTAGAGCAAATACAGATATGTTGATAGAGAATTTTCAGCATTGTGTGAAGATTGACGTAAGTATCTTATTTTCCGAATAATTCACGGTAATACAAACATGAAAAAACTAATTCACTAAGAATGTACAAATATTGTATTGGATAGTGTCACAAAAATATAATTAGAAGAAAAATTCACGAGTTTTATTTAAAGAACGAAATGACCTCGCTAAAAGATATTTAACAAGAAATGAATGCAAATTGTATTTTAAATAGGGCATTACAATGATCTGTAACGACTTAAAGTCAACGACTCTAAAGATCTACAAACAGTATTAAAATTTTAGGAAATTACAAAGAATACTACCTAAAATAAATTATAGTGTTATGGCGGCGGAAGAATTTACAAAAAATTTAAACAAACAGTGTATTCGTTGATCTTCATAATGCAAATGATACAATACCTAGAAAGTTTCTGTGGTGGACTAAAAGAAAGGAGTTTCCGGAATGATATGTATGATATTAGTGAATAGTATTTGCAAAGGTATGAGGGAGTGTTAAATTTCATGTTTAAGTAGAATTGCAAATCGGTGATAAATTTCTATCTAATTTTATCAGTGCTGTATTAGGTAAGAGTGATATTCCAAGATAAAATCTTCTTCTTCTTGATGTGTCTATCCGTTACGAATGTTGGCGATCATCATGGCAATCTTTATCTTATCTGCACCAGCGCGGAAAAGCTGCACAGATGTTGTATTGAACCAGATTCTGAGGTTCTTTAATCAAGATGTTCTTCTTCTTCCTGGACCTCGCTTTCCAAATATTTTTCCTTGCAGGATGGCTTGAAGGAGAGCATATCTGGATTCATTTCGCATAATATGCCCGAAGAATTGTAACTTTCGAGATTTAATGGTGGTCAGTATCTCACGGTTCTTATTCATTCTTCTAAGGACCTCCTCATTTGTGACTCGGTCAGTCCACGGGATCTTAAGTATTCTCCGTTATAGCCACATCTCAAATGCTTCCAGTTTTTTGCTCATATCTTCGTTCAAGGTCCACTATTCAACACCATATAAAAGGACAGAGAAGACGTAGCATCGCAGCATTCTTACTTTTTAATAAGTAAAAGATAAAATGCTGAAAGGTAATTCTGAAAGATAATCAGGGCACTGGAACAGGGGACTCAACTCTTTAAAAAAATATGTCACAAACTTAGTACAAGAACAGAATATCTAGAATGTTCTGACGATTAGAACGTATATCTCGAACAGGTAAGAAATGAAAGGAAGCGAGAAAAATTTCCATGAAACTAAAAAATAAATTCTCTAAGACTGCTTCTAAGTTACGACGAACTATTGTCGAACATACAGCACTGAATATTAGGCAGTTAAAAAAGACAAGAATAACGAATAAATAACAAAATAAAAAATGACTATGTTACACCTCGCTCTGTATATTCATACATACGTTCATTTAATGGTATAATTAATTAATTGATGGATTCGACCGTTACTTGATGGAAATTCATTTTATGTAACAATAAAACACTGAAAACTTTGTTTTCAAACTTCCACAAAATTTATTTTAAATATTATCACTACAGCTGTTTCGGCTGATTGCCTTTCTCAAGTGATCTATTTTGGCTTGGGTTTACAAATTTATAGTCTCTAATGAAATAGGTTGAGGAGGGGAGAACTGTTTGTCTCAAGTTGGTCAATCAGAATTATATCTGTGTTTTTTAATTTGTTGATTTCCATATCTTTGTTAGAATCTATGGAAATCAACAAATTAAAAAACACAGATATAATTCTGAATGACCAACTTGAGACAAACAGTTCTCCCCTCCTCAACCTATTTCATTAGAGACTATAAATTTGTAAACCCAAGCCAAAATAGATCACTTGAGAAATGCAATCAGCCGAAACAGCTGTAGTGATAATATTTAAAATAAATTTTGTGGAAGTTTGAAAACAAAGTTTTCAGTGTTTTATTGTTACATACGTATAATTAATTCTTACCTGGGTGCTCTATATTTGCTCAAGATGCAATAGGTTAGTGGTAAACAACACGATGAACCTTCAGGAAGGACTCTTCTGCAGTATCCATATGTACGTTCTCCTTTATCATTGGTTATCAAGAGGGAATAGTTTTGCGAGAGATCCGACATAGTTAGCGTTGTAATATCATTTTCGGGAAAGCACAGATGTTCGATGCTTTGAGGAACTTCAGCCTAAAAGAGTTTCAAAGAGAATCAAAATTAAATAATTATACAAGGTAGCGACGGCAAGTCTATTTGGAAATTCAGATTGACTGATCAAATTACCTATAAATATATATAGCTATTATGTATCTGTTATAGCTATTATATGTAAGTAAGTTTAAATTAACACATTAATTTCCGAATGCCTTTTCGAATCATTTGTCAAGATATTAACTGTATTTTCTATTTAATCGATATTTATACTTACATTTGAGGGATACTTAAATTTAATCCTGGCTATATCTTTCACTTTTTCTATTATTAAGCAACAATAAAATAACGTATCCTTGTTAACTTTATTGGTGCAATATTTGGGCACATTTTGCCGATATGTCTCAAATTTCTTGATAATAGAAGATACTTTTTCACTGTCATTATTTTCTGAATCAGAATCTCGTATGGAACATATATTGTTAAAACTTGTATCCAAGGTTTTTTGAAGCGAATTCTTTAAATTCTCCACTCGATTTTTGCCAGTGGCACGGCTAACAGTGGGAGAACTTTTAGATTCGTAACATTCTATAATACTGCGAATTTTTGGAGATTCCTCAGTTGGTGATGTATCAGCCTCAGATGTGGAAGAAGAGAGGGATGAGTTTTCGGCAGACATCTGAAATAAACAATATATTTTAGATAATATTTAATATTAATTTGCAGTTTTAGATGTTGTAAATATTGAGAAAATGATTATGGCTCTAAACAAATAGCATATCAAAACAAACGAGCACATAACAACTCATGGATATCTAAAAATTGGGTGTGGATGAAGAGAGGGATGAGTTTTCGGCAGACATGTGAAAGAAACATTAATATATTTTAGATAATATTTAATATTAATTTGCAGTTTTCATGTAGCAAATATTGAGAAAATGGTTCTAAACGAATAGCATATTAAAACAAATACGAGCAACTAACAACTCAGGAATATTTAAAAATTGGGGGATTATTGCTGTGGTATTTCTTTCAAACGCACTAGATTTTTTTTAGAAGAACAATTTTATTATTTTTGAAACTTCTAAATTCTTTGTTTTATTTCTCTTAAAATAGTGGTTTTCCATCTCTCTCGTCAGTCCTGACTCACCGTAGGGAGTGTAATGGTCACCGTGATGTCGTATAGTATCCATCTCTAAAGATTTCTGTCTTTGATCAATTCCTTTAACTTATACATACGTCTTTTACATATTCCTGTAATTTGGTGGATCATCTTTTTTAGGATCTTTCTCGTGATATTCAGTCTTCTACATTTCCTTGGATAATAAGTTTTTCTATGCTTTCTGTATCTGCTCTCATAACATTATAACGTTATAAACGTCACATGTTTGCTACTCTTCTTCAAATATGTCATGTTTCACTTCAAGATACATAAGTGGGAAACTTTTTGGTATCCTTCATCTATTTAAAGTGTAGTTTTGGTCCATAAACTCCTTAATATTGTTTAATCTCTTTTGGGTTTTTAGATATTAGAGATTGGGTATTAGATTCTGTCTTGTCTCCCTTTTTGATGGGACAACCAAATAACCAAGTGTGTAGCAAGCTACAGTACCATAGCTGCTACCATAAGGGAAGTAAACAACTCCATGTGAAAGCTACAATCATTACATTCAGCTCGTACATTTTTCATTTCATTTAAAAGCACTCAACCTGAAAACTCCATCCAGCTTTCATAGAGAAGTGACTTTGCTTTTTGTTAACATTAAAGAATAGAATGTTAGAAAGAAGAGAACAATATTAAATTGTTCTCACTGTTCAGACTTACATTTATAAAACGTACCTACATCTGAGACAGAGCTTCGAAGACACAACAAAAAAATTATCATCTCAAATGTCGCTTTATAGTTACATGACTAGGGTGTCATTTTATTGTAAAACAATTACAATCTAATGATGTATGTAGGTAGTAACTACATTAGTAACCATAGTAACATAAAACACGCAATCAGTAAATCAATATTTGTAACGATTGTTGTAATTTTTGACTTGCAGTTTAATATTAGACGCTGGTAAAGAGATTCCGGAATGGGTCTCAAAATACGTTCACATGTTTTATAGATAACGAGAGGGAAAATAGAAATAAAAATAACAGTAGCCATAGAGACGTGAGAAAAGATACAAATCATACGTGGAGTTGGACAATACTGCTTTAATATCTCTTCTTCAACTGGTTCTCTGAAGAAATATTCCATCAAGCATTCATTATATAAAAGATAACAAGGTATTACTGTTAATGACAGTTACTGTAACAGATTTTTATCAATTAATAATCAGCTGGCGTATCCTTTGATATTTGTCGCAGCCGCTGAAGAAACAGTTGGAAGAAACGGCCTATGTGGTGGGGAACAGATTATTAGACAACGGCCGCGGCCGTGAAAACCAACACTCTTTGATGAGTATCATAATAATAACCATTATACACAAGAAATTCTGACTTCCATGTAATTTTTTTTAAACTGTGGTATACAGCCAACCACAGATATTTTCCTCTTTTACTTTGTACTTAATAATAACTGTAGTCATTATCCATCGTATTTGCGAAGAAAACCTTCACATGTGGTTTAAGTATTTGGTAATATTCAAGCTGTTAAAACCTATTCCAGGTTCGTTTTAGTCAGAAGTATTGGCTTTTTTGTCAAAACTGAACGTCAATGGGCATTTCTCTTGAAATTAGGTTAAATATTTTGCGTGTATACTTCGTTTAAATTGTAATGTGGTTCTCAACACCAACATTTTATCGTAAATGTGGCAGCAGAACGTATCTTAGATGTAAAAGTCTGTAAATATCTTTGTGATAAGCGATAAGTGAAATCCGCAGAATGACATAAATACCGCAAGTACAATTTATATTAAAATCAATGTAAGGTTATTTTTAACGCAGAGGGAACACAATATGGTAGATGTATTGTTTATATTCTAACATCTAAAAGTTAATAATACAATTTTTAAAATATAGTTAACTTTTTAATATTGCTAGTCCAATTATATATTTTCTTAGATCTTGATCTGTAAAATTATACACAAAGACTTTTACATTACATGTACATTATTCTTTGTATCCTTTGCATGCCAATATTCATAATAATTGTGATTTATCTCCACATTTTTAAACTTACTATACCATGACCATCAGAATATCTCTTGGCTGCAGGCAGTACTCTCGATTGAAGAATCTACGTGATTGGCATCAACGCAGATAGATTGATTTGTTTAGAGCAGCAAGTCAAAAATAAAAATAGCCGTTATGAACGCCAACCTCTATAGGGAGACGGCACTCTAAGAATACTATGGCGTAATTGTCACAATAATTATAAAAAATATTGCCAATATTTATTATTTGTCTATGATATTGACCATTTTAACAACAATTGACAATCATTTTTTCAACTCTCTCTCTATCTCTTCCTTTCATTCTACTGAATATTAGAACTATTTAAGGACTAGTTGATCTTCATCAGTTGGAGGTAAGCCAATAGTGATGCGGAAAACTGAATGTTACCGGAAATGTCTCATTTAATTTGTATACTTGTAGTACAAACAAGTCATTCAACGGAGATTACAATGTAAAGATAAGTGAGTAAAAAACAAAATAAGCTGAAGAAAAGATGGATATAAAGGCAATAAAGAACGATTAATGTATTAATCTTATTCCTCTGGAAATAGGTATGGGATGTTTTTTTTACAAAAAACCTAGATCTTACTATACATCTATTATTGTTATTCATACCTTCCTTGCTATATGTATATACTCTTGTCTATTTTTCATATTTCATAGAATTTAATACAAAATTCGTTCGATTTTCATAGAAAACAATTTTATCTATCTAATGTTTTATGTGATAATGGTATAACTAACAAAAAGAAAATATAACAAATCGTCTACGACGATTATGTAAATGAAAAAGTCAGTTTTAAGTATCATTTATTACATGGAATTGGACCTAACATGAATAAGGTCAACGAAACAAAAAGATGCTCCACACTTTAATTCCTCGAAAACCAGTTGGGAATTGATGCGATGAATCATAACAGACTCACCAACATTCTAACTTAAAAATTCATTATAATGAGTACACTGTAATATTGTTGATGCATTATAAGATATATGAAAGTTATATCATTTAATAATAATATTATGTAATAACAAAAGTAAAATAAAAACAGAATAATGGAATGATAGAACAGAAATAATTTTTAATTGTCTTCACAGAACTTTTTAATTATTGCATTAGGTTTTGAATATCAGTAATCATTATTGACAGGTTTCAGTATAATAATATATGCGGAACAATCCATAGAACATTGAAGAACAAAACAAGAAACGATACAATAGAACTTTTCATCACAAAATAGTGTCAGCCATTTTTTTGTACAACTTTTAGTAAAGAAACATGTTAGGCTAGGTCTGTAATATAAATAACAATAAAGTGCATGTGAACATATATAATTAAGATAAAAATTATAAAAGAAAGCCCAGTTATTAAAAAAAAAAGAAATGTGAACATAAAGAAAAGTGCCTCAATTAGCAAATATTTTTTTTAATCGATTATTATTATGACACCTCTAGGAAAAGAAACAACGAAGCGATAACGTTATAAAGTATGTAAGAGTGATACACGCTTGAAATCATTTAAACAATAATACATATTATTTTATACATTTTCCAAAGCTTTTATTTCTTTTTAAACAATACCAATTCTTTATTAAATAAAGAATATTTATTTAATAACTATTTCTTTATACGTTTACAAACCAAAAACGTATGGGCCCTGATTCTATTTCATTTCGATGTCGAAATTTAAAAGCGGCTACGCCATGACAGTCGCAATCGCTAGCGATTCTCATTCATTTCGATTTTAGTTAAAAGTGGGGACATTTACTTTATCATTTTGACACTGCTCAGAATTTGGGTTGGCCGTCTTGTTCTTGTTTATTGGCTGCACGCTTGTTAAATGTTTGTTTTGTTTACATTTTACGATTTTTGTTTCTTGTTTGAGTTGTTAAATTTTTAGTGGCCATTCTCAATGATTATATTTTGAATTGAAAGAAAATGGATGGAGGCTGTTGGTGATGGTGGCACTAAATTGTCTGTGGACCAAAAAGAAATTATGATGGCTTTTGACTTAGTGGTTATATTATATTTTTAAATTTACTGCAGCTTAGTATTGGTATTACTAAAAACAATACATTACCGCTCTAAAAATTCTTGATGAGTTTAAAGATTATTTTATATCTCCAAATAAGAGTGTAGAATTAAAATAAATTATTACAACCAAATTATTTATTATTTCTATCTTCCATTACAGCCTGTTGAATATATTCAAAAATTGTGGTTTCCAATTTAGTTTTAATATTGGGACATTTTATTTCTTTAATTTTTACACCACAGTATATTTAAAAAAATAATCAGTAGCATCTGGCTTGGGGCCCCCAGTTACCGCAGTTCTATTTTTATAGGTGTTAAAATTTCGACCAATTATGTGCCGAATCACATACAATTTCTGATAAAACGCAGCCACATTAATACTTTTTGCCTCAGTTTTCGTTGCAACAATCAAACAAAACAACACCGCCTAAACTGAACCTAACCTCGCTTCTCCAATCCCGCTAGTCTTGTCA